ATTATTCTTGAAAAAAATTTTATTAGTGCATGGAATGATTATATTCATCATGGGGAACTGGCACATGTACTTAACAGATCTTAATTCTTTTTACCTCTCCTTCACCTCCTCTCTCCCCTCCCATTTCTTGGTTCCCCTCTCATTTGCAAAATATCTATTTCGTCTATTTTTGATTCTGCATCTTTTATTATGCTCTTTATTTATTCTTTGTGTTTCTTATATGAGGTATAGAAAGCCCCGCTGGACCTGGTCGCAGTCTAGGAAAATCCACATTTGTAATCCCAAAGGAAATGAGTTAATTCCAGACTACAGCTTCCAGTTCAACTCAGAGCAAGACTAAAGACACCAATTGTCTTTACTGTAGTTGTGGGGAGCCAAGGGGATTCAAATTCAGCTAGTACAAGGGCTACCCAGAACAAAGGCCACTAGCCAGGGTCAAACCCAGGTTTTATTAATCTGGGAAGAAGGGAGTGGCTAGAGGATGTGTGACTGTAGTTGTGGTGGGAAGTATGTGAGTACCATGAGCTGGGTTAGACAAGAGGCTTGAAATCACCTCTGCAGGAGAGAGAGAGAGAGAGAGAGAGAGAGAGAGAGAGAGAGAGAGAGAAAGAATAATGTATATAACAGAATTTGAGGCAGTATCTAAAGTTTTGGGGTTGGTCCTTCAGATTTTACATACAATTTTCTGTGCTCTGGGTTGTCACAGCCTCTTTCTTGAGGCTCAGTTCCAGCCAATAGCATGGTTCTGTTGGTTAGGCTCACATATACTTTTTGGGAGCTATGGACAGAGCAACACTGACTTGTCACCTTGCCTCAAAGTTTGCACATGGGCACTGTGGCTAGACCCATTTGCATTGCTTAAAGCCAATTGAGGGATAAGGAAATGTCCTAGCCAGTTCTGTACCTATCAAAAGTAGGTACAGAAGTAGGGCCAGATTTAGCCAAAATGGATATAACTGCTGTGCTTTCAAAGACAGTCATCTGGGTGGTCCTCCACATAAGATAAGCCATTTGACTTTAAAGTTTGTGTATCTGATTTATTTCACTTAACATTATTGACTCAAAGTGCATTTCTTATAAGTGACTCAAATTTGTCCTTCTTTATGGCAGTGTAGTACTCTATTATAGACAAATACCACACTGTTTTGAAGTCTATCCATCTGTTGATGAACACATAGACCTCTTCTGAGATTTAGCTTTTATGCTATGAATACTAGCATGCATGACTTTAACTCTTTGGGGAAGATACCTAGAACAGGGATAGCTGAGTCAAATGGAATTTCTGTGATTAGGTTTTTGAATAATATCCATACCAAATTCCACAATGGAATAGTAATTTATATTCCCTCTGTTAAAATACTAGCTACAATAATTGTTAAGAGACACACAATATAGAAAGATGTAAATTGTAAAATAAATAACTAAAATGTTGGTGAATAGAGTGGGTTAAATATGTAGTAAATATTTCATGTGTTCAAAGTTATTAGCCAAGCATAATGGCACATAACTGTAATCCCAAATCCCAGTGCTGAGGGAGGCTGAGGCAGGAGGATCACCAATTTGTATTGTCTGGGTAATTTAAGAGAGACCTTGTCTCAAAAACGAAAGAAAGAATGAAAGACAAGAAAAGTGAGGAGCTGAAGATGTAGCTCAGTAATAAGAATATCCATAGTACAAAAAGAAAGAAAGAAAAAAAGGATGTTATATTAGCTTAAAATAACCTTAATGTAAGCGTATTATGTAAATTTCATGGTAACCAGAAATGTTTAGAATTTCCTCATCTTAATATTTGCCGTATACTGATATTATCTTTTTCTTGATAATTCATTAAAGAATGAATGTATGTATGTGTCCATGAATAGGGCTTACAATGAATAACTTCAATGACAACAGGATTAATACATGTAATTAATATCTTAATTGACTACTAGTTTATTTAGTTCTTATAGTAAAAAAGACCCATGCTTGATTGCATTTTCTTACTCAAACACACTAGCTCTTAACTAAAAGTGTACCTTGGCAACAACAATAGTTTTCATTTGGATGTATTTATGTCATGTCAGATCCTGGACTAAGTGCTTCAGTTTCATATTTTATTTTTGCAACTTTCTAAATCCCATTTTACAGCTGGGAAACTGTATGGCCTCATGGGGATTTCTAGAACTGTTTTAATGAGGAAGAAATTCTTTGAGCTTAGTGTTCTAACGACAATGCTTGCCTAAGCCAGAAGTGAAGCGTAGTGCAAATCTATCCCTGTTTAGTTTGGCCTTGAGAGAGCAATGAAGGTAAGTGCTTCCAGGGGAAGGAACTCTGAGCAGAAGCATCTGCTCTCTATTAAAATGGCAAGATGAAGGGATTTACACTCATGAACCAGGGCGAATGGGCTTGTTAATAACTGGATTCCTGAGAACCTCCAATAGGATCTCCCATAATGCTGCACGTAAACAAGAACTTACCATATTAGGAATAATTTAGTGAATTAAGAAAAGCAATGCATTCACAGTCAATTATTTGTTGATTGTGATATGTTCCCTATCATCCAGAAGCAGCTGGTTTTATTGGCAGACATGCTGAAGATAAGTTCCAGCTGGGACATGACATCTTGGAAAGTGCAATACATAGGCTGATATGACTATTTTCTTGTGCCAGTTTATGAGGTGTGATTAAAAAATATGGTGTGTGTTTAAATTTTAAAAATTATTCCAGTAAAACACAAATTGCCATTAATCCCCTTCACAATATCCTTACTTCAAACACACTTAACCTTTTGTCCTTTTTATTTCCTGAAACAGTTCTGGAAATTTCTTTTCATGATTTTCTACAGTTACACTGTTTTGGTTGCCTCCATTTCCTGAATTTGTTGAAAACATTTACTCTTCATAGTCATTTGGACTTTGAGGAAGAGTCCAAACTCATGCAGTGCCAGCTATGGAGAAGAAGGTGGATAAGGGGACGCCATATTGTTTTTATGAGACTGATTTTCCAGCGACTGTCACATGGCAGCAGTTAAAAATCACATCTCTTAATGACAGGAAAGAGAACTTTCAGAAGTACTTCAGAAAGTGACAAAATCAGTGGAAAAGAGGGGGAGCATTTTGACAGTGATTAATATGCCTTTTACTGTAGTAATTTCTTAAAATTTAAACTTTATATTTTTTGATCACCCCAGTATGGCAGTTTTCATGTTTAGAATACATATATCTTGGAATTAAGAAATACAATGAATAATACCTAATGACTAATTCAGAATATTTGTTTCTAGTCTTATGACGTTGGGTGCTATTAGTTAAATATTCAGGGATGACTACCTGGTAGGAAACGAAACAGTGGTTTCACTGAGTTGGAAACCAAGACTATCACCTGGCTTCATGCCACTAAAATAGAGAACTTTGTGTTGACTGCAGTAATTGATTATGAGCATCATGATAAAAATAGGTTGTTGCTATAACATTTAAGGTATGTCTGGAGTGTACTCTTTTCCACTGTAGCCGTAGGAAATACTGAACGGAAGATTATTGCAAATCCACACAGGTAGGAGGCCCAAGGACTATACGCCTCCAGAATAAATACTCATATGACCTTGCCAAGAAAAAAACTCTGATCAGCAAGTAGGCTACAGAAGAAGGAGATAAAACTTTAGTCCTGCCCTGGTGACATTATTGCTATACTGACCATGGATTTTCTTCCTACCTGTCTTTTCTCCTTGCTGTGAAATGTATGTGTGACATTTTTGGCTGTCTGCCTTCTCACTCCAAATGCTGAAGCTGATAGACTTGGGTTAGACGGATATGTGCATGTTTGCTAATTTTTTAATTTCTTCCTTTCCCGCACTGTAGGGGCAAAGTTACTTATGCTGAAATTTGGCCTATTTGTTTCTGGAGATGAGACTCTAACAAACTTCCAGGGGTTAACATCATACCGAAAGCCTGATGGGAGATGGTGCCCGAGCCGATGTCCTCCTTTTGGGAGAAGGTTCAATGTACTTTTTACTGCATACCTGTGCCTGCATTTTGTTAGATAGGAAATTTTGGAAGAAAATTTAATTAAGTAAAAAAGAATGTAGCAAAGTTGAGCAGACAAAAAAGTGAGCTGAAATAGATGGTTGTCCTTTATCTGGCTTTCTAGCCTTCCAAGCTCTTTTTAATCTGGAGGAAGTCTTCCACTATGTGACTTCTGTGGGAGGCAGTCTTACCTTCCACTAAAGAAGATGAAGGGGGTCTGGCGTGCCTCCTCTGGTCCTCTGGCAGCTATGGTATGGGCATGTGACCTAGGTGTGGCCAATCAAGTGTTTCCTGTGAAGAATTAGAATCTTATATGTGAGGGAAACTAGATGCATAGATCTTTCAGAATTTGCCTTCCAATGGCAAAAAACCCAGAGTGGATGGAGGCAGCCTCTTGTTCCCAGTGGCAGCAGGGCCTGGAGGTGTGTGGTATAGCAGCAGTGGTGACAGCAATGTCATGCAATGACTCCCCATCAAGGTGTGACCTTGCTCGTGGTATCTGTGATTCATATCTCCTGTTTCCCTTCCATTTTCTCATTTGGTCCTACTGTTAGTGCCCTGAGTTCTGCAACAGTCTTCTAATAAAGTCCTTTTTTGCTTAATTTTCCATTGAAAAAAATTTTTTTTTGGTACTGGGAATCGAACTCATAACCTCATATTTGCCAGGCATGTGCTGAGCTATGTCCCAGGCCCTCTTAGTATAATCCTTGTAGCCCAAAGCACTAATTTCTGGTGGTGTACATTTTTACTTTACTTTCAAGTGAGAATTTGGGTCATTGAAATGTATTTTACCGGGCCAATGGTCACACATTAAAAATCAAAGCTGAAATCTGATCCCAGGTCTGTTGGATGCCAACCTTTGTATTCTGAGCCACTGCTCTGTCAAATACCATTAGTCTAAAAAGAGAACATTACAAAGAGTAGCTTCCTATGGTTTTAGATAATTATTTCTCAGTTTAGAGACACAGAGAATTCATGTGGAAGGTTGTCACCGACTGTTGAGGCTACTGCCAGGAAAAAACAAATCACCCTCAAGAACAGGCAGATGCCTGTGCAACCACTTTCAACAGAGCCTTTGCGGAAGTTCAGTGCTTGCTGGTCACAGGTCTGTTCTTATCTTCCTGAGGAGCTGGACAGGGCGGTGCTTCTTGGGGTTCCATTTCCTGCTTGCTAATGACGGGCTCTCCCCACAGTTCCTGTGCTCTTGCTCACTTTCTCTAAAATGAACTTCCTTGTTGATTTTTACCATAGACTTTTCCTTCTCTGAGAGGAATTTTAGACACTTATTCTCTTAAAAAAAAAAAAAAAGCAATTCTTTCAGAGGAACTTTTTTCTGTGAAAAGGACTAGAAGAATGTTTACCTGGGTTGTGCTAAAGCCTGACCTTTCAAAGTCTCCTGGGATGAAGTCTCCTGGTCAATAGATGATTTACTATGGGCAGCCCTTCTTCTCACAGATATTTAGTTCACATTTCTCTGTCCTTAATTTCAGCCCAATTTATTTCTTGTACTAATTCGATAATGACTCTGGCTGTTGTTTACACAGTGAATGCTTTCCAAGGACAATCACATCTCCTGTTGGCTGTTGTCAGCGGAGCTGGGAATAGTTTAGAATCTTTTAATCATTTCTTTTCTTTTTCTTGTCTTTTTCCTTTTTATCGGTACTAGGGATTGAACTCAGGACTGCCAGCTTGCAAGGCAGGCGCTTATGCCGCTGAGCTAAATCCCCAGCCCCAATCATTTCTTTTCTTTTTTTTTTTTTTTTTAATTTAAGAGGAAAAAGAGAAAAACACAAAACAAACCAAAGCGGCGTAAGGGTACACGCAATACAGAACTACAAAACAAAACAAAACAAAACAAAACAAAAAACCATAACAGTAAGAAATTACCTGCTAGTAGATTACACACTATTTTCTTGAAAATAGTTCCTCAAATCACAGTATCAAAGAACACAAGGTGGACATTCAAACAGGGAGACTGCAAACAGCTGTGTTCAATGATCCAAAAACATTGATATAGTCAGCTATTTAACATCCCTAAACACACTTGCTGTTATATCCGTTAGAGCTCTTTTTCTTTTTTTTTTCCCTCTCTTTTTTACAACAAAATTTACACATTTTGGATTTTATTACTCCTTAGTGCTTATTACTTTCTTGGGGGGGGGGAAGAATACAGTCAAATATGGCAAAACAAAGCTGTCAGTCAATACCAAGGATAGACATAACACATGGTGTAGAACAGAGTACAAGTTTATCAACAATGGTTATCAACGTTGTCCCTTGTTTCCTTAAAAAGAATTGTCTATCTTATTAGATATTATAAAGTTGGACAAAACAGTAGAGAACAAGACCAATAAAACTTAGGCATTGTAAACATTACAGGACTTCCAAAGAAGACAATAGTCAAACCAGAATGGGTATCTTAGTGAATCTTATTGTCTTCAAAGTAGTTGCCTATGTCTTCAAACTTGATACTATCATATAGAATGGAACAGAGTCTAATCAGTCAAAACAAGATCGTGGGAGTACTACAGGACTTCAAAACAAGTTAATAGGAAATCGAAAAGAGTTACTATTTATATATCCTAATTTTTTTGAATTTTTTTCTTTAATTAAGACAAACATAAGAAATGACTAAATAATTTTTTTTGAAACAATAAGGGGGAGATTGAGATAAAACAGGACATAACAATATAACAATAGAGGTCACAGCATGACTGTTTCAATAACCTAGTACTTCACCACCTTATAACCTGACTTAATAGTAGTTACCATAGTGTCTTTTTCCTTGAAATATTTGGGTAAAACTTCATATACTCTAGCTTCAAATATTTTCATATCAAGAAGCCCAGAATAAAGCCTTTCTAATTAATGAGTGAAAACTTTATAAGGCTTCAAGGCCACCTAATGGGGAATCATGATTACCACATATTTTTATATATTTGAATCATTACTTACATTAGGGAAACTATTCGGTATTCACACATGCGAGATTGATTTATTTCACTTATGAGTATGGTCTCAAGCTGTGCCCATTTATTGATAAATATCTCAATGTGATCCTTCTTTATAGCTGAATAATACTCCATTGTATAGAAATACCACAACTTTTTTATCCATTCCTCAGTTGATGGGCACTTGGGTTGTTTCCAAGATCTGGCGATTACAAATTGTGCTGCTATAAACATAGGTGCACATATATCACTGTGGTATGATGCTTTCAGTTCTTCTGGGAATATGCCTAGAAGTGGAATAGCTGGAATAAATGGGATTTCCAGTCCCAACTTTTTGAGAAATCTCCAGACAGATCTCCACAAAGGCTGTACCAGTCTACACTCCCACCAGCAGTGCAGGAGAGTTCCTTTTTCCCCACAGCCTCTCCAGCATTTGTTGTCGGTTTTCTTGATCCTGGCCATTCTTTCAGGAGTGAGATGGTATCTCAGTGTGGTTTTAATTTGCATTTCTCTAATGACCAATGATGATGAGCATTTTTTCATGTATTTATTTGCCATTTGCATTTCTTCATCTGAGAATTGCATATTCATCTCAGATGCCCATTTTTGGATTGGATCTTTGAATTTCGGAGGTCTGAGTTTCTTTAATTCTTTATATGTTTTAGACAAGAGGCCCTTGTCTGAGAGAGAGTTCACTAAAATCTTTTCCCAGTTTGTGGGTTTTCTTTTCACTATGCTGGAGATTTCTTTTGACATGCAGAAACTTTTTAATAAGAAGTGGTCCCAGTTATTGATTCTGGGAAGTATTTCCCGTGCGGTTTGAGTCCTGTTCATGAATTCTTTACCTACTCCTATGTCTCCAAGGTTTCTACCTATTTTGTCTTCCAATAGATTTAGTGTTTCTGTTTTAATATTCAGATCTTTGACCCATTTACATTTTAATTTAGTACATGGTGATAGACATGGGTCTAGCTTTAGTTTTCGGCAAATGGGGAGCCAGTTTTTCCAGCACCATTTATTAAAGAGACTGTCGTTCTTCCAGTGAACCTGCTTGGCTCCTTTATCAAAAATAAGGTGGTTGAGTGTGTTCGTAGTTGTGGTTGTATCTTCTAATCTATTCCACTGATCTTCAGCTCTGTTTTGATTCCAATACCATGTTGATTTTACTACTGTTGCTTTGTAGTATAACTTCAAGTCAGGGATTGTGATGCCTCCTGCTTTGTCTTTGCTGCTTAGAATTGCCTTTGCGATTCTAGGTCTCTTCTGGTTCCAGATGAAATTTAGGAGTGATTTCTCTAGATCTATAAGGTATGTTGATGGTATTTCTATTGGGATTGCATTGAATCTGTATAACAGTTTTGGGAGAATGGCCATTTTCACAATGTTTGTTCTTCCTATCCATGAGCAAGGGATGTCTTTCCATTTTCTGAGATCATCTTCAATTTCCTTTTTCAGTGTATTATAATTTTCACTGTATAAGTCTTTCACTTCTTTCGTAAGAGTAATTCCTAAATATTTCATTTTTTTGCTTGCTAATGTGAATAGTCCAGTTTCTCTTATTTCCCTCTCTGTAATTTTGTTGTTCGTGTATAGGAATGCTATTGATTTCTGAGTATTGATTTTGTATCCAGCCACATTACTGAATTTATTTATTGTATCTAAGAGTATTTCAATGGAGTTTAGGGGGTCTTCTATGTAGAGTATCATGTCATCTGCAAACAATGATAATTTAACTTCTTCTTTTCCTATCTTTACCCCTTTTATTTCTCTTTCTTGCCTAATTGCTCTGGCTAGTACTTCCAGTACTATATTAAATAGGAGTGGTGATAAAGGACATCCTTGTCTTGTACCCGATTTTAAAGTAAAGGCTTTCAATTTTTGGCCATTTAGTATGATGCTGGCTGTTGGTTTGTCATAAATGGCCTTTATTATATTGAGGTAAAGACCATTTATTCCAATTTTCTGTAAAGTTCTTATCATGAATAAGTGTTGGACCTTATCGAAGGCTTTTTCTGCATCTATAGAGATGATCATGTGATTCTTATTTTTGGCTTTATTGATATGGTGGATTACATTTATTGATTTGCGTATGTTGAACCATCCTTGCATTCCTGGGATGAATCCCACCTGGTCATGGTGTATAATCTTCTTGATGATTTGCTGGATCCTATTTGCCAATATTCTATTGAGGATTTTTGCATCTGTGTTCATTAGGGAGATCGGTCTATAGTTCTCTTTTATAGTTGGGTCTTTCTCAGGTTTTGGTACTAGAGTAATATTTGCTTCCAGGAATGACTTAGGAAGGATTGCTTCCCTTTCAATTTCATTGAATAGTTTGAGGAGTGTCGGCATTAGGTCTTCTTTATATTTCTTGTAGAATTCTGCAGTGAATCCATCTGGGCCTGGGCTCTTCTTGGTGGGCAAGGACCCAATTACATTCTCAATTTCATTAGCAGAGATTGGGTTATTCAACAGTTTTATATCCTCTTGATCTAGCTTTGGTACTTCATATGCTTCTAAGAATCTATTTCTTCTGTGTTATCAAACTTTTGAGAGTAGAGGTTTTCGAAATAGGTGTTGATGATCCTCTGTATTTCTATTGGGTCTGTAGTGATTTCACCTTTTTCATTTCTTATTGCATGAATTTGAGCTTTTTCTTTCCTTTTTTTAATAAGGTTGGCTAGGGGCTTATCGATTTTATTTATTCTTTCAAAGAACCAACTCTTTGATTCGTTGATTCTTTGGATTGTTTTCTTAGTCTCTATTGCATTGATTTCTGCTCTGATTCTTATAATTTCCTCTCTTCTTTTGGCTTTGGGCTTGACTTGCTCTTCTTTTTCTAGCTGTTTGAGGTGTAGCATCAAGTTATTTACTTGTATTTGTTCTGTTTTCCTGATGTGGGAACTCAGTGCAATAAATTTTCCTCTCAGAACGGCTTTCATTGCATCCCACAGATTCCGGTAAGTTGTATCTGCATTTTCATTTTCTTTTAGGTATTGTTTAATTTCTTCTTTAATTTCTTCTGTGACCCACTGATTACTCAAGAGTGTGTTATTTAGTTTCCATGTGTTTGCGGAATTTTTGCAGTATCCTTTGTCATTAATTTCTAATTTCAGAGCGCTATGATCCGATAATATGCAAGGGATGATTTCAA